GCCCAATCTTGGAACTGTTTGAAATTATGGATTCTGCAGGCCACATTCTATAAGAACATTTTTTTTCCGGGTCGACCTGAGACAATTTTTTTTTCGGGGCTCAAAAAAAGGCAGTGTATAACCTTCCTTTTTTACCAAAAATCGACTGCACCAAAATTTCTCGGGAAACACTTTTTCTTATTAATTTTGGTGCGTAGAATCCAAAACAATTCGTACTTTTTCGATTAGACTTCACAATCAAAAGTTATAGACTAGAAACCAATTTCGAAAGAAAATTCAAAGGGCTGTAACTTTTGAACAAGTATAGCCCAGCCAATTTAGTCAAAAAATGGGCAATCAGAGGAACTAAAAATACTAGTTCCAATTTTTTCAGAAATGTGTAGGGAGAGGTTCCCTGAACAAGAAAAAATAAAGTCCCTCCAAATTCCGGTGCCGCTGGGGGAAGGAGGGGGTTTTAAACGACTCATTTTTCAGTTTTTCGCTTTTAACTCGAAAATGGTGCGTTACAGTGAAAAAGTTCTTCAGTACAAAATGAAAGCTTATTAAATTTGCTACAAGTTTGGTTATATACATTTTTTCGAAAACTGAACCGTTTTATGGTATTAATGTCCTCGTACCCATCGAATACAACTGCACAATTGGAAGAATAGTGATTTATTATATATGAAGCATACTGCTCACAGATGAAAGAGACAGTGGTCCCAACATTCCACTTGACTCTGTGAAGGAGAAAGCCACCGTCCACTACAGTGTAAATCGTTTTGAGGTGCACTGCATCCATGCACACAGGGAAAGCCTCATAGAGAGCAGATTTCCTGAAGCATCCTTCGTGGAATAGTCATGGGGTATGGAGATAATTCGCGCTTCAGCAGGTTCGAACTATAGGGATGTTAATGCTGTACAGGTTTTATTGTGACGATTTTCCCCTAAAATGACCGGGGGAGGATTTAGAAGCCAAAAATATACGAAAAACGTGAGTGAAAAACAATTTTGTTTAGAAATTACCACCTTTCCGGAGCCGGTAGCACGAAAACGGTTCAGTTTTTCGTAAAGATGTATATAACCAAACTTGTAGCAATTTTAATAAGCTTTCATTCTGTACTGAAGAACTTTTTCATTGTAACGCACCACTTTCAGTTAAAAGCGAAAAACTGAAAAATGAGTCGTTTAAAGCCCCCCCCCCCCTTTCTCTGCGACTCCGGAATTTGGAGGGACGTTATTTTTTCTTGTTCAGGGAACCTCTCCCTACACATTTCTGAAAAAATTGGAACTAGTATTTTTAGTTCCTCTGATTTTCCTATTTTGACTGGACTAATGGTCGGAATCCCAGAAACTAAAGACTTTCGATTTTGCCATACGAAGATATTACTGAAAGAATCTCCAGCATTATAAGTAAAAAATGATTATCAAAGATAACCAAATTTTTAACAATTCTATCTTCAAACGGTACATTTGAAAAGTTACAACTTAAAATTTCAAGCCCAATTCCACATCCAACGTCAAAATTTTCATTTTAAATTCAGAGTCAGAAGAACTTTGAACTTTTGGTTTAAAATACAAAATTTGCAATGTTTAAGCTGTAAAATCCTGGTTATGGATTTGAAATTGAAATCATGACTTGAATTCTTACAATAATTTACAAGTAATCAGAATTTTGTTCTGTTGGTTCTTAAGTTTATACGTAGGTAAATTTATGAACGATAAATTAATTTTAGTGCAATATTTAGGAGTTATAATTTTCTACTTCGAGCTTGTAAAATTTTGGTGACGAAACTGAACATTTTATTATTTTGGAACTTATATACCAATTTTACATAGTACACTAATTGCCATAAGTTTATTCCAGACTTATGACTTCGAATTTTTAGTTAAACTACACAATCCGGCGTACAAGGCTCAATTTAAAATTTTACACATTTAAAACCCTGACGCAAGACAAATATTGAGATTAGGTACAGAGGGTTTTTTCAATTTAAGAATGTCGCGTTTAAAACATATTTATTTTACCCCCCAGATTCCGACTTTACCTGTATAGGATGAGTCAACAATTGCGCGGAGTAACTTAATGCCTTAAAGATAAGATTTTTCGATAGAGTGCTTTCTTATTACGATATGGTTGACTATTCTCCACCTCTTAAAAATATTTGGAATTATACAGGGTGCGCTCACAAAGTAGGGCCCTAAAATGCTCTATATTTTTTTATCCTGAGTAAAGTAAAAGTCAAATAAATACATCTACTATGAAACATTAAAAAAATAGCTTACAGGGTGTTTTTTTGTAGGTCCAAAATTACAAGTTTTCTTTCCAACGACGTATCACACATGGGGGGTCACTATTTAAAATTTAAAAGTTGGGGTAACTGGGGCGCAGGGGGTTGGAGGGAGTGCGTCGCCAACTATGTCATTGTGATTCCCCCTCCGAATTACCGACACGGATTTTGATTTTTTTAAATATCTCGTTTATTTACTAAGACATGGGAGTGGTAAGTTTTCAAATTGCCACCCTGTATAGTACATTAGAATATAAAAACCAGGAAAACTAAGATACATATTTCGAAAACTATCAGAAATAAGTATAGGGACATTATTATCAAAAGTGGAACGTTTTTGGAGGAGCTAAAAGATGATAGAAAAATATACAGGGTGTTCCATTTAAAAAATATGGAGTTTTGTAACTTTAGACCTACAAAAAAAACACCATGTAAGCTATTTTTTTAAATTGTATGTATTTATTTCACTTTTGCTTTACTCAGGATAAAATATGTATATAGATCCTGGAATCAAAATTTCAGTAATAATATTGACAATATGCTGACGCTTGCAAATGCCAAATTTTTCTTACAAATCGCATAATCTTTAAAACTACTAGTTTTTCGGATATTAACCATATAATAAAAAAGTCGCACAATTACACGTAAAATTAAAAAAGTTATTCAAATACAGGGAGTTCCATTTAAAAAAATATACCATTTTAACGCCCTATATTTTTAAAATGTGGAGACTCAACCATATCATAATACAAAAGTAATCTATCGAAAATCTCATCTTCAAGGCGTTAAGTTACTCCGCGCAATCTTTGACTCACTCTGTACACATAACAATACTACAAAAAATAGCCAAAAAAAAGTTTTCCAGAATTAATTATTTATCTATACAACAGAAAGCAGTACGTGTTAAATTTGACAAACGGTGCCATAATGGTGAACTTTTTTAATTATGAGAAACTCTAAATCCCACCTTTCGACTTCCAAAAACGACACTTTATTACAATTTTGTAATATAATTACATGTTTTCCCGCTTACAAATTCATGAAGATAACACGTTTAAATGCCGTAGCAGCCATAGATTGTCAATTGATACACAAGAAGAGAGCAATTAAGTCAAATTAATCATCATCTGCTTTTTTAAGAATTCTGACTTCACATTAGAATTTTTCACCAAATTTAGAATTTACATTACATAATTGTGGTTTAAACTTAAATTTTAAAATATGCTGAATTATTATTCTGTAATGTATTTAATTTCAAATTGCAACTCAAATTCTGACTACAACTGTTGAGTAGTAGTGGTTATTTATTATATAAATGGATATTTTAACCATTGAATGAATTATCTTTCACAAGATGGTTAATTTCCCTTTATCTTCGTGAATAACAGAAAACTTGATTATACAGGGTGTCAATTTTAAAACTTGCAGTCGGCCATATTTTCCAAACTAGTCGCGCAAAATCGTTTCGGGAGTATCGAGGGGAACCAGAATGATGATATGAGTGACAACCCCCCACCCCCTCTAAACCCCCAGCCCCCCCTTCAAAAATCCTAAATGGCAACCCCGTACTTGTGACACATCGTTGCAAAGCTACTGAAAAATGCTTTCCAGTGGTACCAATAAAGTCAATATTCATTAAGATAATTTAACAAAAATTTAATAATTAATGGTGGACAGAAGCTACTAGTGGCAGTGTGTTGTACATTGTATTAGTCTGTCTCGTAAAATACAGTATTTATGAAAAAGTGACTTATTGCAAGAAGTATTCAGTATTAAATTTTACACAAAAAATGTATTTTGTGTACGGTTAACATAGAAATTTGGCTTCTAATATCCAATATTACTCCCCAATATCACGTTCCATTACTTTGAGTCAAGTAGTGTCACTTTACTGACGAGTTTTGTATTAAATTTTACCCGAAATCGTATTTTAATATAAAATTTCAATTTTCATATAGAATTTTGATTAATGTCAATCTGTCAATGATGACATGTCATTATAGATATACATCAATGTGACAAGTGTGGCAGGAAAAGTGACAGGTGTGGCCGGTAAAGTGACAGGTGGCAGGAAAAGTAGACTGGTCTGCCTCCGTCATAGAAACTAACATTTTCCTGACATACAGTAGGCATGAAAATCAACGTTTCACGACGATTTTGAGTAAATGAAGTGTTCATGACGATTTTGAGGTTTAGGCGAGAGTGAATTAGGGAAACAAAGGAGAGTTTTGCGGTTTCTGAACCTTTGGGAACCCTATGTACGAGTATGTATCTTATACACTACTACTTGAAACCGAAATGCCACCAAAGTATCTTCCTCGTTTCCTCTAGTATGGAAGTGGTATTTTAGAGATCTATGTTTTTTCGATTGAAAATTTTGATCATGTTTGAATGTAGTGCAATTTGGACTACCCTACACAGAAAATTGATTGAAAACAGCGAACTTAGAAGGAAAACTCCACCATTTCTATTAAGGCTAAATATTTACCCCATAGGCGTAAAATTGCCGCGTGACTATCTCTGTTGTAAATTCTAACTTTCATCTTGTAATCGTTATCCCATTAATTTCGCTTACTAGCACTGCACGCAAGTCAGGTTATCAAAGTTGCTAGAGTTAATTAGAGAACGGAAAATGATCGCGTTATTAATTAACGATATTTGAAGGTACATGTTTATCAGTTAGGTAATTACATAAATAAAATGCATAAAGCCAAGTAAAATTTGACTTACCTCCTCATAGTCGAGTCGTGCGGTGAGCGTGAAGACTCCGGTCTGTGGATTAAGTGAAAATACGTCATTAGCCCAATCGCTAATAACGGAATAAGTCAATTGTGCATTGACTCCTAAATCAGGATCGCCGGCTCGTACTTGACCAACTCGTGATCCTCGTGCAGCATTTTCCGGAATATCAAATGAATATGCGCTCTCCGCAAATACCGGTGGATTGTCGTTCGTGTCGGTCACCTGAAATAAAAAGTCGAAAGTAAAAATATGTACCTGACGATGCAGTAGGAACGGTAAAAATTTTATTTATTGATGGTAATAACCAATTGAAGATGTTCTCGGCGAAGCACGTTCTCACTTGTGGATTACTATAAGGTTCTGCTACCGTGTCTATAAAACACCTGTGCAACTATAGGGGATAAAAACCCCAACTACATTCCGTCTGACTGTTAATGCGGCTAGTTCTTTCGATGTCTTTTAAGTATCATTTAGCTGTTCGGTAACGAACGTTCACATACTCGCCGGGCACGTTGAAAAAATTCCAATTTATCTCATCCGTATTAGACGATGCCAAATTTCATAAAAGTGCTCACTTGAAAAAGCACCATAACGCTTCAAATAGAGAGGCTAACTTTTTTCAAGCGACGTAATTAACGGTAATGGTTTTATCTTCCATTGGGGATTTGAACAACTTTTATATTTACTTAGAGAAGTTGAGGCAACAAATAAATCACACTTCCACTTACACGCGTTCTTTGTATTCAAAAGATGTCTCATCTGCTTGATTGGCGACGCAAAAAACCTCATCTCAGTATTTCAGGATAAATCGTCAATTGCCGATGAATATTTAACATTTTGTGAAAGCGTCTGTTTTATCGCAATTTAATTTGCCATTTCCAATGCTATAAAAATTGTACATTTTGAATTATACGAACATCAAATCAGTATCAAAGAATCAGGATCATTCTTTAAAGGAGCGAAATGATAGATTAAGAAACACGAAAAAAGTGATCGAATTAGTGATCTGCAATGAAAGATCTTAAGAAACCACCACCACTTATCGACGGATAGGGCTGAAAGGCTATCATTTCTGTAAGGGATGTGGATTTCTAGTAGGAAAACAAGAACAAAATACGAAAAATAGTAAGTAATCCGGTCAAAATAACAATGGATCAGTGGCAAAGAGTTTAATATTGGATTTAGGGGTAGGTGAAGTACCTAACAAGCAATTATAGGGATCAATAAAGGGCGTCCAAAATAAAAATGACTCAAGGGGTCTAAAATCAAAAGCTTTACATTGAAGGTAATACACCATCGAAGGCTTCCGTATAGAGAACTGGAGTAGATATAAAAATATTCCCCAGGTAATTATTCGGCGATATTTCTTGGAGCAAATTCGTAGTGAGCGAGCGCGAATTTTCCTTGGAGACGGTATCACTCGGAGCAAATCTACCGTGGCCGTATTTTTCACATGGGGGATGAATATTCGGAGGAATCATCAGAGCGAATCTTCTCACTGATATAGACGAGTTTTCTAAATGTTCATTCTTAGGGCCTAACAGACAAAGGTGAATTCCCCAGGGGGAAAATTTTTCGTAGAAGTGTAAATTTGAGGGGAAGGAGGAATTTGCTTGGGGTCAATTTATTCGAAAGCTGATCCGGCCACAAAAATACAAGAGAAGTCTTAAATCGTGTGGATGGCAATTATCTCTCTCTCGGGAACCCATCTTTTTCCGAACAGGAATATTCCTTGGAGCAACATAATGTGGGTGGCAAACCGTCTTCTAGTAGCGCAAACTTTCGAGGTAGTCTAAAGCAATCGTCACAGTACTTTTCAGGAAAAGATAATCGATTCCTTCTGTGTGTTGAGCAACACCCCCACTATGCACTCCCCCGAAATGTTTAGGAAAACGAATACGTTTTTGATTTTTGACGTGAATGTGATCAAAGTTTTCTGTTCTGGCGGTAACACGAAAGTTCTAGGGGCTCGGGGTTTTAGGGGAGAATGTAGCACCCGAGAGTCCGAGGAGCATGGTGGTGCATCCACCTGGAGTAACTGTTTTGTTCGCATTTGGGCTGGCGGAATGATTGGGCCGTATTTTTTAGAAAATGCGACTGTTTATGCGCTGGCTTTATTTGGATCGGGTATTTTAGTCGGGGCTTTATCCAAATTGTAAAGCGAGACGATCAGAAAATCCATTTAAATTCGAAAAGATCTGAAACATATTTCAAATATCTGCCTAAACATAAAAATGTTATTTAACATATTTTTATTGAGCAATAAAATTAAACTCAAAGTTTCTGTATCGTATTACAAATATCTACATAAAATGAAAACCTCAAAAAAAGTTCTGAGGAAATGGTACAGGAATAATACAATTCCTATTTAATTTAAAATCTTTCTGTCTCTATCAATCATCTTTTTTATCGTTTACTGTGTATTTTAAGATTGAGCCTAAACTGTATAAAATTAAATTCGAAAATTTTACCAAAAAACCAACACAAACACTAGTGACGGCACCAGGAAATCGACGGACAGGACCTTGCACACAAACAAGGTCACTCCTTAGTTTGAAAATATGCTTCATCAGAGCCTTTTTTACCGGGGAAATCCCAGGACATTTCCTGGCACCACAAAACAAGGCCACTCCTTAATCACATCATCAGGGAAATCCCCTGAGCCTTGAGTGCCAAACCGGTGGAGGGGAAAAGCGTCTCATTGGGGGAAGGGGGCTCGTTTTTACTGAAATGTAGAAAGGATCGATTGCCACCATGAACTTTTTCGACGTCGTACTCCGTTTCGTCTCTGCGGTGCGGTACCAAAATGTCAAGAATAAGGAGTGTTGTGCTGTAACACCCTCCAGCTCCTCCAAATTTTTAATTTTTTCTGAAATAATCCTAGGATGGGCCCATAAATCTGCCTAATCATTGGGCAAAATCGGGGTAGCTGAGGACAACACACGGCGCCTCTGCTTCGTGGAGGAAGAGACAGCGGAAGACATCATCTGCTGGTGTGAGGCTGCCACCGGACAGAGAATTCAAGACCTGGGCGAGGCTGCAATAGCACTTCAGCAGATTAGAGAGTAGCAGTCGTAAATGATCCTCAGATATTTCAACAAACTGCCTCTCTCGGAGCAAGATACTGGGGCACGCACAATAGATCAAAGGGTCAAAGTGCGTAGACATGATAGAGCGCAACCCAGGAGAGGAAAAAATGACCAGTCAGAAACGATTCCCCATGCTCTGTACTGGATTTTCACTATTTTTGAAAGCACTCAACGGTAGTACTTAATGTACTTTGATCAATTTTCAAATTTTCAAAACGGAAACAGATGGGAGTTCTAAAATTGAGTGGGAAAAATGCACTAATTTGAATTCGATCGTGTGACATGTTAGTGTTCTGGTATTAAGTTGATCCTATGGGAAAATTGTATACAGGATAGTTCAAATTCGTGGCTCACCGTTGGGATCTCCGTAACGGTGAGAGATACAATGTAAGTTAAATGAAGGCGTTCTGTGGGCACTTTTTTCCGGAGAATCTGAATCTGTTATCAGAATCTCAATAACACGCTAGATTTCACACGCTTATTTCTTATAGACGCCATCTCTATAGTCTACGGACCAGTAAATATGTCGGTATAATTTGGGGGTACCAATTTTCCTTTTTGTAGTGGTTATACACGTTTATTAGGATGCCAAAAAATCATAGTTGCCAGCGGTAGCTAATAGGAATGGCGATTTCATTTTCCTTTTTTTTTAATTAAAGCTTTTGAACGGTGCTACCAATTTTGTCATACGCACTTTTTCGATAAAATCTATTGTTAAGAAGTAATTTAAAAAAGTGTCTTTTTTAAAATTTCCTTCTGCTTTTTTTTCTACGACTTGTATTAATTGTGTTTTTCTGTAAATTAATAATGTCTATAAGTCACAAATGATAAAGTTACAGAATACCTACTAATATTGGTACAGTCATGGTTAGAAGTAATGTCCTCCCTCACATACCGCAACTGCAGTACAAAAAGTACTAATATTTCAGTTCCTCCGGGATTTAGTTCAACCAAAGAGTATATAATGTTATATACTCGTTGGTTCTACTTCATTTTAATCTTAGGGACTTTCGTCATTTTGAAAAGAAGCTCCAAACTCACAGGAGATCTGGTGTATTAATTATGTGCTACACTTGAGAATTGAAGTGAAATTGCACTATCCAAAATTCAGGCAATCTTAGATAGCGTTGAACAACGCTGCATATTAATAAGATATTTTGACCCTCAAACAAAATTTTTTTTTATTGTCTTGTTAAATTTAACCTCTTTATGATAACTAGTTCTTGTAAGTATTTTGTTTTACTGCTTGATTTTACTCTACGATTTCAGTTACCTGATGATGACATGGTTATGTCGAAACATGTAGTATATGTTAAATTTTGATAATATTAAAGAATATATGGGGAAGGTATAAATATTTTCTCATAACGATTTCCAGAGATATAATTGATTCTATACTCAGCATCCGTTATCTTTGAATGATCGCCATTAGCGACTACTTTGAGATGGCAATCATGTTTTTTTTTACACTCTAATATTTGTGTCTCTGATAAAAAGGAAAATTGGTACCCCCAAATTATATCATTTCCTTCAATTTAGCCAGTTGGCCCATGCACTACTAAGGGTTGGCCGAAGAACTGGACAATGTTTTGTCCAAATTTTAGGAATTGTTACTTTGTGAATGAATGCTTATATCATTTCGTAATACCAAAAGTTCGTGTAATACACTTTTCCTGTATAATTTAGGGTTTAATGCAGATATTTTATAAAACCAAGTGAAGGAGGTAAGCATCCGGGACTAGCGGAATCTGGCACGAATATGCGTCCATAAATTAAGGTAATAAATTCCTTAACAATGCACATAAACGCTTTCATGTTATATATTATTATGGTGCATTTTATAATTGCAGGTTGTTATCCCTTTGTCGAGACACGCGACACATACTAAAACAGGTAGCTTAGAGATTTTCTCACATTTCACCGCTCTAGTTACATCAATCATCTGACTTTCCATGTACGACCATTTAAAAAAGTGTCACAAAGCGCATTGCAAATTAATAAACCGATACAACGAAATATCGAAGGATCCTCAGTATTACAATAACTTTTAACGATAATTTATTTTAATGTTACAAAATACATCAAATTCATGTCTTGGCCATTGAGATAATGCTCTTAATCTTGTTTTGATCA